GGCTGCCAGAGGGATGTCTGATTGCCATCTTAGGCCCAATCCCCTGGGGAGCAGGCCTAAGCCAGCAAGTGGTCACCCCCGAGGGGTTCCAGACTGCGAAAGGGCACAGGCCGGGCTGAGGGACCCCCCTGCCCCCGAGTGCACAAATTTTTGTGCACCGGGCCTCTAGTATATATATAAAAGGCTATGTTTACTCACACATGCGCGATACATATAAAGCTCTTGCTGGCACCAGTCGCACGCGTGTGTTTCAATCTGTCATTGTCGATTGTGAATTTGGTTGACACTTCTATTACAGAGAAAGGGCGAATAGCGATATTAAAATATTGTAATTAATTTCCTTTCAGTGTGCATGAATTTGTGCACCGGGTCCTAGTATTGAATAAAATGTTGTTGAAGTTGCACTCCTGAGTTGTAAAGAAGGAAATGTAATGTTACACCAAATGATCAGTGCATAATTTTAATGTTGTAGGGATGACGTGTAGAGAGGTTTTTGCAGTCAGTATATTTAACATTTTTATTTTGTGTGGAACTGAAGAGGGGGATAATCATGTTTAAAACTATAGATAATAATTAGATGGAATATAAAAATCAAGGGGGTTAAAAGAATAGGAAAAAATTTCTCTTTATCCTCTAACCACCTGTTTTCACTCTTTAGAGGCAACCACTAATTCCATATCTGTGATATTTCTAGCATATAGAAGCATATACATTTATATTATTAAAACACTAAAGCATACTGCATACTATATAACTTTTTATCCCCATTTTATAATAGACCCTAGAGACCATTCAACAACAGTACATGTGTTAGTGCCTCACTTGCTAGCTGAATGGTAGTTCCATTTTGGTGGTCGAGATATTTTCAGTCTTTGATTTTACAAACAGTGCTTCATGCTTTTAAAAAAAATGTATCAGTTGTTATATGTATGTTTTAAGTATATTTTAGGATTGGAAAAAATTTCCTGATGATTCTTTTGTGCTGAACCTGCCAAAAAAAGATATAACAAGTAAATTTGATTGATCTGCTGAACTTCCATGGAGTGACTAGCTTTTTTTTTCTTTTTTAGATATGTTTTTATTGATTTCAGAGAGGGAAGGGAGAGGGAGAGAGAGAGATAGAAACATCAGTGATGAGAGAGAATCATTGATGAGCTGCCTCCCACATGCCCCCTACTGGGATCCAGCCAGCAACCCGGGCATGTGCCCTGACCTGGAATTGAACTGTGACCTCCTGGTTCATAGGTTAACACTCAACCACTGAACCACATCAGCCGGGCTGGAGTGACTAGCTTTAATGGTGACTATAGTATTTATCAAATAAGTTACTGGAGGATTTAAAGTAGGGGTCTGAAATGATCAGACTTGCATTTTTTAATGTTTTTATTTATTTATTTATTTTTTTAGAGAGAGAGGAAGGGAGAGGGATAGAGAGACAGAAACATCGATGAGAAAGAAACATAATTGATCGGCTGCCTCCTGCACCCTGTCTACTGGGGATCAAGCCCGAAATCCAGGCATATGCCCTGACCAGGAATTAAACCAGTGACCTCTTGGTTCTTGGGTCGATGTTCAGTCACTGAGCCAAGTCAACGGGGTGAGATTTG